ATTATCTTCTCTGGCGATGGAGGCTACACCTCAGCCGGTCGAATGTGCACAAAGCAAAGGAGTGATAATCCAGCAATTGGATTCTGCACTGAACGAACAAAAGCAGCAGAATTAGGAGCAGCGGCCAATCAGCTTCTTCAACGAATCAGACGCAACACCAAGAATAGTTAATTGACCGTGAATCGCCGCTCAATAACTCTGGTCGGCGACGGTAGCTCCTCCCCGCCAAACCTCCTCAATTTTTGACGGGACTAATGATGTGTAGTGGTCGCTGGTCTTTTGCGATGAACAAAGCGCCAGTAACACCATCAGTCATCTCCTTCGCCTTAGGTGAACAAACCAAGCAATCATCTGCAGCGCCATCAGCGCAGCAACAAAACAGGGATGACAGTCTCTATCTCGTCATCAACTTCACACTAAGGAAACGAATTGAACTAGACCAAGCTTTTCTCCGAAATCATGCTACTCCAAGAGGACCGTCCTGCGTTAAAAAAAAAAAAAAAAAACAGAGGTAATATTCCGTCAAAATTATGAAAAGTTTACCTTCGATTGCCCCGATGATGTTAGCTTACGGAAGGTATTTTCTTTGTTGTTGGCTGATGCATAATTCTAAATTTCTAATCTAGATGATTCGTATTTATAATAGTGTGAAGAATTAGAGTTGCAATTGGAATCTGTTATGGTGCTGAGTAAAAGTTGCGGCTGGAATTAATGCTTCGTAGTTAAACGTGTGATGCTTGAATCAGTTCAAGTAGGACAATATCTGCTACCACGGCACTACCCTAACATCCAAAGGATTCTAAGTGGTTTATAATGCAATATTTTTCACAAAGAAGAATTTTGATATTTTAATATTCTTGGGCTGCGAAATAAAAAAAAATTGCGAATGGCCCAAATGAATGGAGCAGATATTACCGCGATGGATCTGGGTTAACAAACTTCACGGGCCAGGGGATTAAGTCTCGAGGGGGCATTTGTGGATATCGAAAATTATTTAATATTTTGGACCTATTATTCTATGATGGTCCATAATATTATTAAACTGATTTAAATGCTACTGGGCTATTATCCATGTTATTGGGCCTCTTATAGAGTCAAAGTTGGATTCTACTGGACTTCTCAAGAATGATATCCGTCTTTTCAAGAGGAAAATATTAATATGGATCTGTTCGAATAAAATTTACAGATTAAATTAATTTGGATCATTTAAAATATCCAGTTAACTTAGTTATAAATTAATTCCTTAAGAGAATGGACCGGTCCCATCAATTTTGAGTCCATTATTAAATAGTAGCCCAATGAATAAGAGATATGATCCAACTTTTGAAGTGGACGGCGAATCTGGTTAAGAAATCAGTCCATATGCATGGAAAATGGATGTGAACCTTGTTAAAGAAGATGTCTAGATACATTGCATAAGTGCTGATTTTTTTGGCTATTAAATGCAAGCAAATAGAGCTCAAAACCCATTTTATTTGAGGCCCAAAGGGTATGGACGAATTTCCAAAACCCTAAAGCATATTTTCATCCCCTCCATACCTATAAATAGGGGTCTCAGTTGAGAGGAAAGGAAAGAGAATTTTCAGACGAAGAAACGCTGCAGAATAGCTCTGAAGAACTCCCGAAAGGCTCTGAACGATTCCGAAGAAAAGGAGTAGACCAAGCCACGAATTTTATTAAGAATGTATGAATAATCCTTTGTGATTTCATCGATTCTTGATAAAATAAATCCAAAAGTTGAAGAACGTTCGAAGATCTGAAGAACGAAGCTTGAAGATTTGAAGATCGGAAGAACAATGCTTTGAAGATTCGAAGACCTGAAGAACGAATCTTTGAGGATTTGAAGATATTCATATGAAGATTGAGTCAAGATTCAATTGAAGACCAAACCACATATCCCGGGAGGCTCTTAAACAGAAGATCAAGCCACAAAATGACCCTTTTGTTGAAGAACAAGCCACTTGAAAACCGGAGGCCCTTCTAGCTGAATTCTTAAATCAAGAATATTTGAAGATTCAAAGAACGAAGATTCGAAGATTCAAGGAACAAAACTTTGAAGGTTTGAAGATTCGAAGAACGAAGGTTCGAAGATTTGAAGATCTGACGAACGTTCGAATATTTGAAGAATTAAAGATTTAATTTTGAATTAATTTCTTTAATTATATTTATTTCAAATTACAAGTGAAGAATCAAAGGATTCATATTTAGAGATTGTACCCAATATTCTCACATATTATTATTTGCGATCAATTTTAAGTAAATACTTAAAATTTGTTTCACAGTAATACTACTTTAGGATTAATCATTTTATTACTCCGTTGTCCCTTTAGATTTTGATAAGATTGGGGTAGTGGGTAATTGAGAAGAATAAGCAATAGAGTTGAATAGTTGATATTGAACTGGTAAATGTGAGTATAGGTAAGATAATTAGGACTACATAAAGCCATAAAGGTGTGCTAGATTATGAGAGCTTATTGTTCTATCAGAATTGAGCCGCCCAAATTTGGATTTTTTGTAGTCCACCCAACTACTATCAAGGGTAACTCAGTCATCCTTGACTACCTTCATCTTTGGGGGCGGAGCTAGGGCACTGGGCCGGATCGAGCCGGTACAAAGAATATTTTTGGAAAAAAATTTAAACATAATTTTTTACACTAAAAATTAAGTCAATTTTTAAATTTGGGGTGGGCCAAGGCATAGGTTGATCACCCCCTATCTCCGCCCATGTTCATCTTGTTCGCCTCCCTCCTACACCTGCCTTCTGCCCTTCCTGGTAACACCCACGTTGCGGTAGCTAATGTTGCCTCCATGGAAGAGCTTCATCCTTTGATATCATCTTTACTGTCTAGTCCTTTTTTAAAAGAAAACTGGTTCACTGAAGGCTCGGAAAAAACTCTAAAGGTTGCTCATAGAACATGAAATAAAAATAAAATATTGATGGCGCAGGTTAAGACAACCCCACACAGGCTTATCGGAACTCGGAAGCTGAGCGGTTAAACCGCTTGATTGGGTGATTTTTGGAAGTTTGAGAGTTGATTGGTGTTTATAGCCCGTGGGCGTATCTTAACTGATAGATAAGGAGTGCCACAAAGGGAAAGTCTCGGGTTCGAATCCTGTCAACTGTGATGAGAGATTATTATGTAAAAATGCATAGGGCTTCTGCAAGTATTTGAGTTCGGGAGTCTCACCGTTATCCCCAGCTTGTAATTAAGGTCCAATTTACATTCTCCCAGTTAATTGTACGGCCCTCGAGGATGACATGTCATCCTTTTTTGATTAAGTGTTTATATAGTACGAACTATGAAGGCTTAATTACCGTTTGTTAATAGGTGGTGTTTGTATCCGCTTCCTATCAATCAAGATAAACTTTCTGATTGACCATGGTATACTACGGATATCAATTGAAAAAAATGTTATTAGTAATTTTATTAATTACTCCCTCCGTCCCAATTTGATTTGCAAAATTTCTTATTTTGATTATCCTGAAATGGTTTTTACTTTCTATTTTAGGTATATACTACCTATGTCCCATAAAATAAGTCTCATTTCAATTTGGATCGGAGTTTAAGAAAGTTAAAATAAAGTGGAAATGTATGGTTGTGGTTGAGTAAGAAAAAACTAAATGAATGTTAGCCACACAAAACTTTCCAAAAAGGAAAATGGGAACAATTTTTTGGGACGGCCCAAAAAGAAAAGTGGGACTTATTTTATGGAACGGAGGGAGTATGTAAATAAGAATAAAGTTACAAATTGGGAAAAGAGGCAAATAAGACCACATACTAACCAAAAAAAGTCAAATAAGGCCTTATTTATGAGGCTCTGTCCGGCCTTAGCCATTTGGGGTGGTTCTCGGTGGAATTTTTTGATAATTTTTTTTTACCATCTTACTCATTAAGTCTAGTTTACTCATACCAAATTTCAGATAAAAATTTAATCGAGAAGGCATTCAAATGAATTCTTGAAGATAACTGCGCTTTTAACTGTGCAATTATCTTAAAGAATTCATTTGAATGGCTTCCCGATTGAATTTTTAGCTTAAATTTGGTATGAGTAAACTAGACTTACTGAATAAGATGCTCAAAAAAATTCATCAAAAAATTACATCGAGAACCAACCCAAATGGCGAAGGCCGGACAGAGCCTCATAAATAAGGCCTTATTTGACCTTTTTTGGTTAGTACGTGACCTTATTTGCCCCTTTTCCCTTACAAATTTACCCTTACTTTTACTTTTTCACCATTAACCTAAAGACATATACTTTAAAAAGATGGGCAAAAGTGTAAAAAGCAAGCATCATTTATTGTGTCAGTCAAAGTTTGCAATTCAATTCGGGACGGAGGGAGTAATTAGTTACTCTTAATTGTAATAATGTTCTTACTAATTTGCTCTTCACAAAGCTAGGAACCTAAAAGAATACTTCCACTGTCCCAAAAAATTTTGTCATTTCATAAATTTGAATCATGATTTTGATCAGTATAATATTATGAAAATTATAATTTAAAAGTAGTTTGAAGAAAGACCATCTTCATATAAGTTTTATATTATAAACAATTTTAAATAAAACTATATAGTTGGTCAAAGTTTGTATAATGACAAAGTTTTTTTGGATGGAGGTGATAATGTGATATGATATTTCACGATACTATACACTACCTCCGTCCCGGTGGACTTTGCCAAGTTCAAAGTAGGTGAGAAATAAGAATAGTAAAAACTGTGATTGAGATTTGTGCAGTGGATAGAGAAAAGTGCAGAATCACAAATTAGTTGTTTTAATAGGAAAGTGACAAAGTTTTTTGGATAACAAAAAAGAGAAAGTTGACAAAATCGAATGGGAGGAAGGGAGTATTAGAATATTCATGTATCGACCATCAATTTTGAATCTTTTGCTTTCCTAGAGTACTTCTCTTTACATTAATAGTATACGATGCATTTCATATACAATTTATTTCTATTTAATTGATGGTGAATAAAACATATTCAAATGAAATGTCTATTTGTTGACCATCGAGGACCTCATAATTCTTCTGGGCCTGGATCCCACTATGCTTAGGCTTGTAGTGGTGGTAGTATACATATACACCTAAACAAATTAATAATACAAGAAGAACGATTACAGAAACTGAAATAATAATATCACGATCTTTTTTGCTCTTCTTCTTCTTATGTTTCACTATCTTGATACGTTTCTTTTTTGTGCTTTGGGAAAGCCGCCGTGTGGGAGTGGTTGTAGAGGAGGGAGGAGGCCGAGCCTGAGAAGGGGCAGTAAGCGGTGGGTGGACCGGAGAGATGACATTGAGGAGGCCGGGATGAAAGGGAGAAGCGGGATAGCGAGCGAGCAAGGACGACGGAGTGGTCCCACTGAGCACTTCTCCGTCATTTGCTCCGGGATCGGATGGAACGACGGCCGCCGCTCCTTGTAGGACGATGACGAGAGGAAGCAGCAGTAGAAGAAGCAATTTGTAGTGATGACGATTACATTTCAGTGTTTTCAGTACCATTTCCCCTACCTCAGATTGAATATTTGTAATTTGTCTTTTTAAACGTCCCTTCAAATCACTAAATCAATGGTAATAAGAATTGAGATATTAAAAAACGAAGTAAAGTCACACTTCATCTGTCCCAATTTGGTTATTTTACTTTTCTATTTTCTTAATTGTCTAAAAAATGTAAGTTCATATGTTTTCTTTTTATAGCAAGAAATATGTGGTTCATATTAGTTCACTTTGTTTTACTTAAATCTCGATCAAAATTTTATCTTTTTAGCAAGAATTATCGTGCTAAATTCAAATAGGGAAAATAGTCAAATAGATCCTCGAACTTACATAAAAATGTCAAATAAGCTCTTATTTGAGAGACTTTGTCTGGCCGTCGTTATTTGGGGCAGTTCTCGGTGAAATTTGTTTATGAGATTTTTTGAGCATCTTACTCATTTAGTCTAGTTTACTCATACCAAATTTCAGCTAACAATTCAATTGAGAAGGCATTCAAATGAATTCTTGAAGATAACTGCGCTTTTAACTGCGCAGTTATCTTCAAGAATTCATTTGAATCCCTTCCCGATTGAAGTTTTAGCTGAAATTTGGTATTAGTAAACTAGACTTAATGACTAAGATGCTCGAATATTTTCATCAAAAAATTCCATCGGGAACCGCCCCAAATGTCGACGGCCGGACAGAGCCTCCTATATAAGGGCTTATTTGACCTTTTTATGTAAGTTCGAGGCCTATCTGACCTTTTTCCCATTAAAATAAGACATGCATCGTGGGACAGAGGTAATAATTTCATTTATAGAACTTATACATTGTCTTCAGCAAGAAATTAGTTGAATATCATACATTTATCAATATATATATATATATATATATATATATATATATATATATATTTGATTTTATATTGTCTTAATAGGGAAGGCAATATATTTTATAGGTATTTTACAACTTTTTCATCTTTATCCGGCCTCCTATTTTTTCATTTTTTGATGATCCATATATCTCATTTTCATTATTTTCTTATGTATCATTTCCACCGAGTTTAATGTAAAAATAATGGGGCTAGTGAATCCTTGAAATTGGTGATGATAGAAAAAGAAATAGATAAAAGACGAAAAGTAAGAGTATAGTTCAAAATAAGGATGTTTTCATTAGCACTTGATTATTTCAATCTCAGATAAATTAAAACGAGAAGGAAAATTGGAAGTTTTCACTAGTGCCCCGATCCATACGTCGTAGAGGCAGACTGAGACATGCATAAATCAAATACACTAATACTAAAAATAAAAAAACACTATAATTAATACTATCTACTAACTAGTAACTAATCTACAATAAGAAGCAATTTCCAATTGTATACTTCACATTAGTCTTCTTTACATCTTTAGTAAATTAAAACATTATAAAAAAGTTGTTCTTCTTAAACATAAAAAATCTGACACAATTAGTAGATACTCCCTCCTTCCCGCTAACAATGGGATAAGAGGGAGTGCCATGCAAATTAATAAAAATTGTTTTGTGGTTGATATTAAATTGATAAAGTAAGAATAAAGTAAGAATGATTTAGAGCTACACAAACTTTACTAAATTTGGTATGTGACAATCTTAATAGGACCGACCGATAAGGTAAAATGGGACAATCACAGCGGGGCAGAGGTAGTAATATAATCGGTAACAAGCAATCATTAAAATTTTTAAATTGTTTGGATTAGTCTTTAGAGTAAACAAATTACAATGTAACAGCTTTTTTTAATTAAATACAATTAACGCAAACTAGTACTTCCTTCGTCCCATTTTACCTGTTTTACTTTCCTTTTTGAGTTGTCCCAAAATAACTGTCACATTTCTCATTTTGGTTAAATATATGTGGTTCACAACATTTCATTTTATTATACTTAAATATATATAAATCACAACTTTTATCTTTTCAAGTACTTTATTAATAATTGTGTTATTTGTGTCAATCTCAAATGAGATGGAGGACGGAGGTAGTACATATTTTGGAATATGAAAACAAAACACAACAAAGGAAAACATAATTAAAACTCGAGTTTATTAATTAATATGATATCGATCAAAGAAAAAAAAGAAAATAATGAGTTTGAAATGGGTTTAATTTATAATTACGTACTACCTTTCAAATGCAGTACTTGATACTCCGTATAAAAGTTCTTCTCAGCGCAGATAAGACGTTAATTAGTTGTGTTCCTATCCTAATTGAATTTGTTGGAGCGGGTTCAATATATAACAAAACAGATCAACGAGAGGAATGAGGAAAAGAATAATATAATTATTTAAGGTCCGTGCATTAGTGCATAATGACAATTAAAGTATATTCCATGTTTTCTTTTGCAGTGTTAAAGGTTAATTAGTTAAAAAAAATAACTATCTTGTGCTAGTCTTAAAACTATAAAATTGGTATCAAATAATAAGATAGATAGATTGACACAGGCAGGATAAGATGACTCCAAGCTGTGATCATTGGCACTAGCAAAAAAATGACAATGACGAACCGATAAAAAATGAATGAATGCATGATCCAGACAAAATGTTTGGTCGTGAGGAGGGGTGTTAAAATCCCACATTGGATACCTCTGAAAGAATTAAACACTATATTAAGATCTGAGCTACTCATCCTATCAGGTTGACCTTTTAGGATGGAACTCAGATCTTAACATGGTATCAGAGTCAGGTCGATCCATGGTGTGAGCCCCCTATGAAATATGACGACACAATTAAAAAAATGACAATGACGAACCGATGAAAAAATAAATGATGGCACAATCCAAACAAAGTGTCTGGTCGTGATGAGAGGTGTTGTTGTCCCACACCGGATATTGCTTAAACAATTAAACGCTATATTAAGATTTGGACCCTCCTTCTATCATATGTTACCTTTTAGGATAAAATCTCCGGTCTTAAATAAGATTTTACATAAATAGCAATAGAAAAGGGAAAAATACTCGTACAGAACTCGAACAAACTCTTGACAATTTTCAAAATATGATCACGCGTAATTCTTTCGGAATAAATAACTAGACACCTATGGAATGAAATATGATGAAAAAGAGAACTTATGATATGAAACTTCATGAAAAATAGAGAATTTTAATTTCTTTAAATATTACTAATAAAAATGTTATAAACAAAAATTTGACTGAGTAGCTATTAGTGACTGATGTATTGAAAATTTAGATCACAATAACTTACATGTAGTTAGTACGATATAAATTTTGAACATAATTGTAGTCACTAATAGTTACTAAGTAATATTTTTGTTCATTACATTTTAAAGAGTACCCTATCTGTCCCAGAATTATCTTGAAACTTTCCTTTTTCGCTCGTTCCAAAATTATGTACTCTTTCTTTTTTTGACAAAGAATTTGTGGTTCACAACATTTCTTACACATTCTTACACATTTCTCTCTTCTCTTCATAACTCTCCACACCACAATACCCTCTATCTTAATCTCGTGCTATTTATACTTTAGGAGATAAATATGGGACATAGAGAGTAATATCTATGGAATTATTTCTTAAAAATATAACATTATTTCTCATAGTATATTTCATACACACATACATACATACATACATACATACATACATACATACATACATACATACATACATACATACATACATACATACATACATACATACATACATACATACATACATACATACATACATACATACATACATACACACACACACACACACACACACACACACACACATACATACATACATACATACATACATACATACATATGTAGTACATACATATGTAGTATATACCTGGCGTGCTGATAAAATTTTATCTGATACAATTTCTCTAATAAAATTTTATCTGATTAAAATTTATCTGATTGAATATATCTTGTAAAATTTTATCTGATTGAATTTATTTAATAAATTTTACATTTAATGAGTACACCTCTAGGATGAGACTGTCTACGGTTATTTTTAGAAACCGACAAACCGCATACGCGTGAACACATGGCATCTCGTTCTGCTTCCAATACCTGCATTCACATTCTCGTTGCGAAAGATTGAGTGTATGTGATCATGTGAACTTATGGCTACGGAGTAAATTCTCATTGTTCGATTTGTGGGACAATAGGATCACGCTGTGATCCTAGTTGTGTGATATGTCCCTGCCGCCACTGTTCCAAACCTCCGTTGTGTCTTCATGGAAAAGTGAACTGAAACTTCATTTTAAAAAGAAAAATTAAAAATTTAGCGTTTCTGATATTATATTTCTAATATACCTGGCTTACTGTTGCTCACATTTCTTCCCCATTTTCTACATTTATTTTGTTTGGACATACGAATCTCAGAAAACAGAATCTCATGAGAGGGAGTTGCAAGAAAGAAACGATTCTTTAATTTGTGAGAAGAAAAACACGTTTACCAGTCAAAAGTTGGGGCCGTGAATGTAATAATTCTTTTGTTTTATACTCCATTCGGTTCTCAAAGAGCTTCACAGTTTGACTTCACACAGATTAAGAAAATAAATTTGACTTTACTGAGGAGTGCACTGTTTGGCACTGTTTGGACACTGTTTGGCACTGTTGGTATTGTTTGACACGGTTTTGCATTGTTTTGGTGTAGATAATTTGCCAAATAAGGAAATAAGAAGAAGTGTGAAGTTAATTTCGAGACTTCCTGAAAAGAAAAGTGGGAAGTTGTTTGAGAACCGGAGGGAGTAATTTATACTCAAGAAACTTGATTCGATTCAATTACTATAGCTGATTAGTTATAACTTATAAATGTACTCTTTATTACATTTGGATTAATACTTACGATTAGAATTTAGAACTTACATACTCCCTCCGTTTCTAAATAAACTTCCAACTTTCCTTTTTCGTCCGTTTCAATTAAAACTTCCATTTTCCCTTTTTGATAAAGAATTTGTGGTTCACAACATTTCTTACACATTTCTCTCTCCTCTGCACAACTCTCCACCACACAATATCCACTATCTTAAACTTTGTGTCAAACTCATTTGGAAGTTAAAATGGGAACGGAGGTAGTACTACGTATTTGAAAAGTGCATTTAAAGTTTCTATAAGAAATTGCTACGACTAGGACTACAACAATGACAAAATCTATAAATAGGAGCTAAAGAAAAAGGTGATAGTAAGTACTCCCTCCGGTTCTGAAAGATCTTTACACTTTCCATTTTTAACAGTACCAGAAAGATCTTTACACTTCCTTATTTGTTTTATTTGGCAAATAAATCTACACAAAACAGTGTCAAACAGTGCCAAACAGTGTTTATTTCCTTAAAAACTGTGAAGTCAAACTGTCAAAGTGTCAAGATCTTTTGGAACCGGAGGGAGTAGTAACTAAGGAATATGATTTATTCCCCTAACAAGACTTAGAAAGATCTTAGTAAATTGTAGTTTTCAAGTCTGATATGATTTAGTCTATTTAAATACAGTCTGGTCAAATTTGAATTGATATGGTAGAAATCTATTCTACATGTATTTTGTAACTATCAAATTCTAGTCTAGTCTCATATGGTGATTGAAAACATCCTTATTTGATTCCATTGAAAATAAAAACACAATTAAGAGTGAATTGACCCCTACATTAGAAATAAAATAATGATGATTTTATTTTTATGCTTTATCTATGTATTAGTCATGTTTATCGACCCTTAGTCATCGGTCAACAAGTTTGGACCCGTGCAGGTCACGAGGCGGGACGGACCCACCCCATCAAGTCACGTGGCTGGTTTGGGTCTTGCAGTACCCACCCTGCCCCGACCATTGGCATGCCTACCCGAATGGACATATGGCATTGAAATTAAAAACAATAAACAGAAAAAAAGGAAACAAACAAAATTAGATCAATCTAATACTCCGTATGTAGTATGTAACACTAGAGGTGTTGGTTCCGGGATTGCCTTTCTCACATAATCACAATATCACATATGAGAGGTTTATCAAGTTTCAACACACTTTTCGTGACGGAAATAATTGTGCACTCATGAGTGAATGACACTCAGGAGGCGACAAGAAGTGTCTCCACGAGCATATTAATTAGATTTTAATTTTCTTTCTGTTTTTTCTTTCCAATGTATCCAAAAAAATGACATATCTAATATGGATATGACCCAATCTTCTACACATGATCAACCAACAATAGTCAATTCCACACTCACTATTTACTAATATCATTTTGGGTTTCAGAAAAAAATACATGTCATTCAAATATTCACTTATGTACTCAAACTCCTAGTTTGGAGTATCCCTATAAATTAGGCATTATAAATTATAATCTAGCTTGGGCCTTGGGAGGATAGGAATCAGAAGAATGGTGTTTTATGGAATTCTAATTAATTCCATGAAATCTAAAATCTTTATAAATCTTTTAAAATCTATATGGAGGACACTCTATTTCTTCCACCACACTACTCCCCCATTATGAATAAATTGGGCGTATTCCTTTTATAAATGATTTTTCTTATTTGACCCATTTTCCCCTATATTTTCCACTTTTCTCTTTATATCCCCCCCTGAACTTATTCTAATTTTTTTTCTACTCCGTACAATATTCACCCCTTACTATTATTCTAAAAATGTGTGAAAATCTAGTTTCATTTATTCAAGAACAAAGGGAAGTAATGTTCTTATATTTATTTTAGAAAGCATATTAACAGATAGGTTCACGAGCCTATGATACATTTGCAAATAAATTGAACAAGGTCAAATGAAATCTGTAAATTACTACTAACATAACTACCAGAACTTGAACTTGAGTCCATACAAGTTGGCAAATCCGACTGCAATAGATAAAACCAATGCGTAGAGTAGCAAGATAGCAAGTGCTGAGAATGATGTAACAGATAGCGTATTAACAGATAGGTTCACGAGCCCTGTAAGCATGTTAGCCTGCACATGGTGAGATGATAAGTGTTACAGTTTCATTACAGGCTCAAAATTTTTGATGATATAAAGAGACATGAGGGAAAGTTAGATTTGATCACCAGAAGAAAAGATGCTAGAAGGTTTTGGTTGAAAGCTTCCTCCAATGCAGATATTTTGGGTTGAGATGCATAACCAGAGAGCATGATTATACCCAAAACCTGAAAAAGACCAGGCTAATGATTGGTTTGCTACTTTGCTGTCTATGTGTTGTGCATGCAACTTTTTGACTCCCTCCCAAATTATTAGGCTCTTCAGTTTTTTTGCACAGTTATAAATTAAATAGAATAAAATGCAGTATAGTTTCCGAAACTGTCCTTTAAGTGGAGCCAACTATGTCAAAATCATTTCAAAAAAGTTAACAGTGATTTGTGGATTTAGATAACTAAAAAACTAGAGATGTTCAAATTTAGAAAGTGAGCAATATTTTAGGATAAATAAGGTGGGGTAGGGGAGTAGCTATTTTATTAAGTAGTAAAACTACGATAAATTAAATGGGGAGAAGAGGTCAACCCGTTATTATCATGGGTTGAGGCATTTATAAGATTGAGCAAAGCTAAAAAGTATACCTGTAGATTTTGAGCCAATACAAAACTAACATAAGCCAGGTTGCACTGCACAAGAAGCATTGAGTTAGTTGTGAAAAGGTTCTTGCAAATAAGACAGCTTCCCTCATCCTCTGTGAGAGAGACTTCAATAAAATCCATTTACCATTCTGCGTGAAACCTTCTCAACGTGCTTGTCAAGAATATATGTCAACAACCTGCATAGCCAAAGTCCCAACAAAGCAACATAAATAGCCTAAAATACTGCTCCTGTTTCTTTTTGAATTAATAAGCAATATAGTGGACAAAATTATGTTTTTTACTTTTTAATGCAGTAAACATAGTAGTTATTCTAATGTCCATGATTATGCTTTCACTATATTGACCATTGTAATCACGTTTTTGTCATCAATTATATTTCAATATTTTTTTGGATAACACCCTTTATTTTCACTCAGACCATAGGTTTTCACCAAGTTTAACGATGAAATTGTGGGTGTCGTGAATAGTGTAGAAAAAGTGAAAAAAAGAGCCAAGATGAAAAAAGGGAAATTACTAATGAGAAGATGAAACGGAAGGGCATTTGACATATTTCTAATCCCCAAAAAGGAAAGTGGAGCCAGAATAAAAAGTGGAGGCAGTATAAACGGAAAGTAGAGCATGTAAAATAAATGGAGGGTAGTATCAATCAATAACAAGTATGCAAATTTTTGAAGAGTGCTGTAGAAATCGCACCAGAATGATAGAGATAGAGCGCAAACTCTTTTCATTGCCCATTTATTGTTTCTGAATGTAGTAGCACTATAGTGGTTCCCGAAAAAAAGAAAGTGTCCTAATTGGACACCAATAAGGTACAAACTCCAATAACCTATGACAGACAAAAATAAAGAGCAAAGCGATCACATAAATCTTAATATATCTTTATACCGGCACAAAGTGGAATTAGGTGAGAGACAGAGAGTGAGCGAGAGAGCATGGGAGAGAGGGGGGGAAGAGATTAGAGTCCAAATTTCATAAATATTTGGATGGAACTTGCCAAAAATGCTGAAAACCCCTTCCTTGTTTTGGCTAATTAAATCTGCTCCTCTTTTATCTGAGAGCAGATACTCGTTAAACCCAAGTAACAAGCATAGTTGATATCCTTAAAAGTACAAAGCTGTGTTAGTCATCTATGTGTCATGCAGTAAACATAAAACAAAACGAAAATATAAACCATATGTCTCTAGTCTCTATACCTAGGAGAATGAATAAGCCAAGAATCCCACAGTAATTTGGAGGAACATTAATGATTGACGTAAGGATTGCCACACCAGCGAGGGTGAAAAAGAAATTCCAATGCATTCCATACTCCCCTACATGAACCTAAAAAGGAAGATGAAGACTTTGATCATTCAAAATTACACTCACAAGCATTTAGTGATAACTTAGTTTACTTTTTATATGAAGTAAAGTATATTTACTCCAGAAATCTAGAGTGAAAGGGTAAAAAATCAATCAGAACCTACTTACACCATCACTTTAAGTTTATTTAAATGAAGCATGGTAAATCCATATGGATAAATTGGTCAACGGTTAAAATGAAAAGCATTTACACTAATTTACATATATCAATCACCAAATCAAGCAAATAAATAATGACTTAACTAGTGAAAACTCAAAAAGGAATTACCTAATAAGATGCAAGGAATAACACGCTCTTGCTAGTCTCTTTGCTATACATATTTGAATATATGAATCATTTTCTTGATGGACATGTTTTGACTATTATGCATCAACACATAACCACCCGGAATCAAAACCCTTATTACTCTACATGCCCCATGGGATTATACAATTAGGTACTTAGGTCTCAAAATTCAAACCAGAGCCATGGAATCATTTACCTGATAGTCTACACTCGATGTAGATATGAGTCGAGCAAGGCCTAGAAATATCAGTGGCCAGGTTGAACGCAATGAGTTAGAGAAACTCCTGGGATTTAAAAGGAAACTTCAACATTAAAGAACAACCATGTTCAAATAAAATCACAGAGCAATCATATGTGACTTTATATAAACCTATATTATATTCCCCAGTCATTTCCATTAGAAACTGATGGTTACTTACATTGCTGAGATGCCACGTGCCTGACGTGAAACGAATGCATTTGTCAATACAAATGAGCCTACACCAAGATCCATCTGGCACAAATGGCAGGATTATAAATAGCCTAACATTAGAAGTTGCTTACTTCTAATGAAATCCATATCAAAGAATTAGGTCGTATAACAAAAAGAGCACTGAATTATTTTCCAATATATGGTTGACTAGACGCAGAAGGGGAGCCTTGGTGCACTGGTTAAGGTGTTGCTGTGTGACCAAAAGGTCACGGGTTTAAGTCTTGGGAGCGGCTTCTTGTCAAAATTTGACAGGGGAAGGCTTGCCTCTTATACACCCTTGTGGTGGGACCCTTCTCCGGACCCTTGCATGCGTGCAGGGATGCCTTCGTGCAACGATCTCTGCCCTTTTTTATATGGTTGACTAAATGCACTGCCTTTACAAAACATTACATGGATAATAAACAAAAGACCATCGAAGTTCTAGATAATATGTGCTCTACAACCTTCCTCCTTCAGGAGTTGTGCTCCCTAGATTATCTTGAATTTGCATCCCCCCCCCCCCCCCCCCCCGATCATGTGTATGTAGTATCCCATGGTGAGGTCGTAGTAGATTTCTTGCTGTACTCACTAGGTTGTTTCTTTGTTTGTGCTTTTGCCATCCCAATGGCTTGGACACAATTTCCGATAGTCAAGGATGAAGAATGCAAGGGCTATTCATCTAAGGTACAAAAGATGTTAGCGCCTAAACATTGCTCCAATGGTTTTCCCCCTCTTAAACGTCTAAAGTTCACCTCCTCAAATAACATGGGTCATTTATATGGTTATATTTATGGTTTAGTCCTGGTTTCTAATACATGCATTTAGAAGTGTGTTGGTACTTGGTATGTCTAGCTTATGTTACACTCAAGTTCATAACACAATCTGTGATTCATGATACACCAGTTAGAGGTGTAAATTCTATATCTAGAGCTTGGTTATTTCTCTAGGGTTAGAGTTTGTAACTAATGTAATGATTTAACATATATTGTTTCTTTTCAAAATACAGTTCTAACATGTTATATACAACAAAGTTAGGAAAATAGATGACTAAGAATAATTGAGATCCAGGAAAAAGTACTGCGCTTAAGGTTATATGCAAAAATTACACTCACGCACAAACTAAGCTAAAGGTATATCTTTCTGAAAATGTTAATTAAGAGAGGGTTATACAAGGAACACCCCAGCTTCTAATGTCAGTCTTAAAGCATGATGAAAGTTCAGTTAAATTTGAATATCTAACAGCCTCATCCAGGAAAACTGAAAAAACACACAAACAGATGTGTAAGTGCAGGGTCACACCTGTGTGAATGAACCGAAGCACAAATATTGTCATATATTAGGTTGAATTATCTTACCAAGCTCGTTCCGTAAGTCTCTGTTTTTGCAAATCTTCTAGGAAACATTTTGAAGTCAACAGCCAGAATACACAAGCATGTAAGAAGCATCTGCAATAACCATTGTTAATGAAGAGATAAAATTGTTTGGAGAATATAAATCCTCTGAAAAGATTATCAGAGTATGCATATACCATGGATACTCTGTATGCTGATATATTTTGTCTAAGAGATTGGAGCCCATCATCCTGAAAAGGAGATCCAAATCTGTATCCCATATGAACTTAGTTTACAATTTAAAACATCTAGAAATGTGAATATGTGATCACTATTTGTGTGATGCCTAGTGCATTCTATATTGTCTCATACGCACTAATTTTCTTCACCACAGGAAGAGAAAACATAAATAGAAAAGAAACAGATAAATAGTTGTTACCTTCCAAAAAAAATACATAAAAGCAACAACGAAGCAACCAGAGTTGTATTTACATAAATCCAATCTGCTAGGACCTGTGTCAGATAGCTATTCTCAGCATTCATCAACCACACTTGTTAGGAGTATAAGCATTAGCACTCAACTACATATAATCCACAAAGGGTTACATTAAAACAAGACAACTTTTTACATAAAACACAAAAACGTCACGAACATGCCGCGTCTCCATATTTATATTTACATACATTCTTCTTTTATTTCTTTTGCAGGGAGGAGGGATTTCAGGGCAGTAAGAATGCAAAAATGCTTACAGTTGTATATAAAATGAAAGGAACAATAATGCAGAGGAAATCCAGGCTAACTGCTGCAATGTACATCGCCAAGTTCTTAGTCCTAATAATACCATTATCTTTGTCATGTTTCTTCAAAAAAGCCCCTAAAGAGTCATGACCAGAGTAACAAAATAATATTACAGGAATGCAACTAATGAACATCATGATAAGCATTTTAAAAACTAAACACTTATAAAAATATTAAAGTGCCTAACAGTAAGAATTAAGTAAGGCAAATAACTGGTTCCAGAAAAGTGAAAACAAATAAGATGAAAAGGGCAACAGATAAGCATGGGTAAGTCAAAACTGTTAAACTGAAAGCAAATCCTCAGTGAGAATTACTCCAACTTGAGGCAAATGCACTAAGTCAGAATTACCTATAGCTTTGTCTATGGACAAGCTCAACTGAACTTTTAGTACAGCACATCTAGAATAACCATTCGTAAAACAGTGCAAACGCGGTGACAATATATGCCAAAAATGACCTAAGTTTATTTACTACATAATCATTGTTAACTTAATAATAGTGGGTGCCATGTTAGTCCATGTAACAAAAAAAGAAAGGAATAATAAACGAAAAGACTCAATTTCAATTGCCACAGCAATATGGAAAGACTTGTTTGAAAGATCTACTATACACTTATCACCACTGTAGTAAAACAAGTAAAACTTATGAGTTACGACATCAAAAGGATACACATATGGAGGCAATGTTCTACATTTTGCATCACACTGAAATAATTTACAATTAAAAAAGGGTTATAGTGTTATAGACACAGTAAAGCAACTCCTGATGACCTGATCGCAGTTGGAAACAGAGCTCCAGTTCTAGGTAGAGAACAGGAACAAGTACTACTCCCTCCGTCCCGCTAAGATTGTCCCATTTTACCTTTTCGGGAAATCCCACTAAGATTGTCCCATACCATATTTGGTAAAGTTTGTGTGGCTTTTAATCATTCTTACTTTATCAATTCAATATAAACCACATAAACCCACTTTTCTTAATAACCGCGCCACCTTCTTCCATCCCAATGTTAGTGGGACGGAGGTAGTATGTTTTTTCTGTCGAACTGTATCATCTCACTTTCTAGCAAATATATACAGTAATAAAATATGAAGTGGTCCAAGTGAAACTTCCATACCAATTTGAGTATTTAATCCGGTAGAACGCCGTAATAGTATGACAATCTGTACTGCGAAATAGTACTATAAGAACAGGAAGAACCTAGTAGGAAAACATGCAATTGCACTACCATGATTACCAAATTTAATTAGGGGAAAATAATTAAAATACCCCAAACTTTGAAGGGATGTGCGATAAACACCCCGAACTTTCATATGTAATTTAAATACCCCAAACTTTATATAAAAAGTTATTTTAACACCATGGTTATGTGTAATTTCTTTCAAAAATGTAAATTTATGGTGTTAAATGCATAATTTAAAATAGAAAATTGAAAACATTATAATTATATATAATGGTGGGTAATACTATTTATTTTACAATGGAAGCTTAGAATGTTAATTGTATCTTTATGAATGCTAAATTTATCAAGCTTGAAAGAAATTATTCATGACCATGGTGCTAGAATAACTTTTTATATAAAGTTTGGGGTATTTAAATTACATATGTAAGTTTGGGGTGTTTATCTCACATCCCTTCAAAGTTTGGGGTATTTTAATTATTTCCCCCATTTAATTAAGGCAGGGATTTCTTACAGAGAGAGTTGTCATCAGACAAAACAATTCAAGCATAGAAGATCCACTAAGGTTGCTCACAAACCTGATCAAGCATCGCAAAATCTAAAATTTCATCTCAAAATGAAATACTATATACTCCCTCCGTCCCAAAATGAACTTCACGGTCACTATTCACATGTTCAATTTAAATTACTCTTAATCTAATGTTTTATATATCAAATTTTTATCAAATTTATATTTTTTTATCAGCTTTTGTAGCAGTTTTAATGTAGTTTCTCAATATGTAAATTTTATTTACTAAAAGTAATCTGAGTATGAACAGGGATCGAGTTGCTACATCGTAATCCGAAATGGGAATTTAATTTTGGGACGGAGGTAGTATATGATAAAGAAAGGAAATTATTATCTAATGTGGAAAGATAGAAGCCATACTGTTCTTTAAGATGCTTGTTCGGGTTGAGGGACTTCAAAGGAGTATCCATCACAATCTGAAATTGCGGAGGAGACGGACTTTGAAGAAGAGAGGGAGCCATAAAATGAAGCAAGCGATGGAGCATCGATTAGTCAAACACCTAACTCCAGCGATGGATAATAGCAGAGGAGGGAGATGAACAACCAATTCAACTCCAGCAAAACCCAGATGAAGCGAAGGTGACGGCAATGTCCGGCTAAATCCAGCGATGAAACGACAAAGACGTCCACTTGATAGCGGTAAAGACGACTAAATGAAACTGCTGGCGATTATAAGCGGCAAAGATTAACAAGAAAATAAGAGCGACCCACTCCAACCACAGTGACGATGGCAGCAGATGACAGGTGAGCGACCCATCACCTGTCCTGGGATCCAATTTTTTGTTGCGTTCCGTCCGGGCTCCGGCAAGTTTCCGGCAGGGGCGTAGCTGTTCAGGGGCCAAGTTTAAACTAGAAAGTAGAAACACAAACACTATGGACGGGTTTACTTTAGCTTTTCTGTACTAATAAAAACATGGGTTTACTAGTAAGACCCTTATGACCTTTGGATTGAGCGTTAGGAAATGTCGGTAAGTGACTTGATGGAAGGGTGGGTAAGTGTCCGGACGAAAGAGGTAATAATAGAAGTGTTAATAATTCTGACATAATTTTATTTATTTGTTTGGAAGAGTCAAATGAATGAAGTGTTAATAATAGAAGTGTTAATAATTTTATCTTTAGTCAGAAGAAATGAATAAGGAGAAGAGATGAAAAAGGCAGATCATCAGATCTGAGGCAAAGAGATTCGAAGTGAGATGTCGAAACATTTTATATTTTTAGGGTAAATGAGAAGGGTAATAATTGTCCAACACCTCAAAACACTCCAAATCGGGGTGTTAAAAAAATGGACAATTGAGGTGTTGGGAAGGTTATTATTAACATTTCCTAACCTTTACTAACACTTCTTAACACCTCTTAATTTTTCTCTCAAACAAGTGTTAGTATCAACACTTACTAACATTTCCATTACTAACACCCTCTAACGCTCAATCCAAACAGGCCATTAAACAGGCTCTTTACAACAAAGTTTACTAACTAAACAAGTGTTTAAAATGACTAATTTTTTTGGAAGCAGGTGACTTATATTAATAGGAAAGAACGTAAGCAGGGTACAAACAGACAAAGAACACATAGTTTACCGTCTGCCCTTGAACCAGACTTAAAATGACTAATTAAGCGACCTTTTAAGCTTTTTTGTTTTCTAATTTATCACGCTCCTTTCTCTTACTCTTATATATATCTCTACCCTCTAAAATGAACAATAATGCAGCGGCAACTCTCATTTCAAACTCTTGAATTTAATCTTTGTTTCCTTGACCTTGTAGCATCTCTTTAATATTTTGGAGATCAACTTCTATGCATTAAGACGATTTTTCATGTCTTGGTTTTCTTCTTGTGTTAAATGCAACTTGGCCTCAAGCTCACTTTTTTAGAAGATGGTCCCTTCAAACCTTTGCAACTCACACCACCTCCAAAGCTAAGCCAACAAGACTACGTTTTTGAGGTCCAAAACACTTCTGATATAGCATTGTCAAGTGACTTATATTTGCAACTCACACCATTTCAAAAATAAGTTCTCTGACCGGCTTGCTACCCATCCGAAGTCGCATTGTCAAATGACTTATATTTTTGGATCTTCACTCATTCTTTTCCTGTATTCACAAAATATTTTTTTCTTGAGCAGTGCAAACTCATTTCTCATTATTTGACAAGCAAATAAAGAATAACTTAATTTCAACCTCAAAGTTTCACATGGAATAGAAGTTCACTATCCTAGTTCGACAGACAAACAATTATAACCTATTTTCAGCCACAAAGTTTGAAATAGAATAGAAGCTCATTGCCATTGGTGATCCCAGTTATAAGATAACCTCAATATTTTTCATTGTTTCTCACATAAAAATCATGGTTGCATCTTTCGTTTCATATTCCTCTGTTCTTATATTCATGGATCATATGGCACTTGATGATAGTCTAAATTACACAAGAATGGATAATAAGTGATAAGGCATGTTCAAATTCAACGTTCTTGCACTGATCTCTGTTCGGGTCCAGTGTTTTTTGTTGGATTGATAATATTATTGTTTCTAAAGTTAGCACTACCTCCGTAGATAGTTTAAGTTGAAATAGTCATGCAGTAATAGTTATGTGCCTGCATTAAATGTCAGAAAGTGAAAATAGTGATGTAATAATAGTGGAAATATCCTAAGAAAATCAAGAGAATACCGGGTTGCCTTAATATTTCTAGACACACACACAGTTATATGTGTCCACTGTTCTTTACTTCTTTTAAGATATTTGAAGTTCACTATTATATTCTTTTATATGTGTGACAGGGGGAGGACATAACCAAGGGCTACGTTAAATGCCCTCGCGTAATACCACTGTGGATATAGATGCTTCATTACATGATGTTGACGCTTTGGAATTTGGTTAGTATGCACAGATATATGAGATCACACTCTGCAGAGTCGGGCAAGGCCATGTGTTCTTACATCTATTCTATTATGAGCCCATGCAGTCAGGTATGATCCTTAGACTCAGCCAATCTATGGCCTCCATCTATCTATTAACAAGCCCATGTGGTCAGGCATATATCCTTAGACTAGAACAGAGCCATAACCCTTGCTACCAACCAAACAATCAATTACGGGTATCCTAGAGACCACCCGGAAAATAGCATCAACAATCGTATCCTATGATAAATAAATCATTTAAATAATTTAAGGCTATCCCAAATGAATACCCTATATACTCACGAAGAATCACAATACTAAAGTTAAGATCAATTTTATTAATGTTCACACTACAACTGTAACACCTCGGCCCCACAGGACCCGAGGTAGTTACTCCAGACCTCTAGTACTGTCCTCACAAACCTCCACAAGCCTTCAACGCGCACTTTGTCCTCACTCGTGCGCGCCCTGAGAAAACTTCCTAGGGGGGCACCCATCCCAAGACTACTCTCGTGCAAACATGCTTAATTTTGGAGTTCTTAGGTGATGAGCTCCCTTAAAAGGAGATTCATCTCGTTGATATGAGTAGTACTATTAATCCCTTTGAATTAAATCTCAAGTTTTACAATCACCCCCACTTAGGAACGCAAGGTCCTCGTTGCGCCCATAAATCAATATCAATCAAATCCCAGAATCTTTCTCCCTGTTAAATGCCTGCCCGATATCCAACGGATCAGCGCATTGTCGCAGGGTTGCTCTGATACCACCTGTAACACCCCCGCCCCGTAGGACTCGAGGTAGTTACTCCACACACACTCCAGACCTCTAATACTGTCCTCACAAACCGACACTAGCCTTTGCCGCGCACTTTGTCCTCACTCGTGTGCGCCCTGAGAAAACTTCCCAGGGGTCACCCATCTCAAGACTACTCTCGTGCAAGCACGCTTAACTTTGGACTTCTTAGGTGATGAGCTCCCTTAAAAGGAGATGCATCTTGTTGGTATGAGTAGTAAACTAGTACTATTAATCCGTTTGAATTAAATCTTAAGTATTACAACAACCTCGGACTAGTTACTTAATACTATCCGGGTAGTCCTTGGTTCAATTTGTCTCTCCCTTTCAAACAAGCATGACTCCCATGCCATAGCTCGTCCTCACTACATACATTCTATATTAACGTTACTATCCATAAAGTCAATGCAATTAAATAGTGATTCATAAATCATCTTATTAATTCACCACTAAATCAACTAGCACAATATTTCAAATATGGCAAGTAATAATGCTCTAATTACTCAAAGCCCAATTAATCATGCATCAACTCTTCATGTACAACAATATGATAAATTAACATTTTATTAGACATAATTAATTAAAATCATGCTTTTATATATTACGTAATCTTATGAATTAACCAACTAGTTATAAACAATATAGTCAGCTATCCTCACATTAAATATTACCAACAAGCTTCCCTATTGAAGCCCCAATGTTAAACCTCCAACCAAGGATGATCTAAAATGTTGTTCTCAGGAAGAGAGTGAAAGCTGGGCGGCTTTCACAAAGTTCGGGCAGCTTTCGGGCCCTGCAACACGAAAACAATCCCCTTCTATGACGGTTTCCGACAATTTCAATTACTATCGATTCAACATTTATTCCCAGTTAAAGACCAACACTTTATAACATTTTCTACACTTTTTTACATGTAGAACAACATCTATAATCCATAGAATGATTCAAATGAATCAACTTATATGAAATATATAAAATGGAAGAAATGACATCGGGAATATAGAGAGTTGTCACCGCTAGTTCACGTTCTTCTCCTCCAGAATCTTTTTCTCACGTTTCTCTACTCTTATCCATGTTCACAGAGCTTGGTTGATCTCTCTCTATCCCTCCCTTAGTTCATATGCATGTGTTCTCAAAAAATGAGGAGGAGAATGGGCATACTCCCTCCTATCCTTCTAAATAAGGAATGTTGGGTTATGGGTCACTTGGGTTACCCATTCCATTTTTGTTCGGCCCACACGAGTTCAATGAGTCCCTAACTCCATTTTTGGACCTTTTTATGTACGAGACTCTCCCAATTGGATGTATAAATATACATCTCATTCTACTTACTAAAAATAGTAAGTTGGACTCCCTAAATTGGGTTGTCCATTACTTTTCTTATTAAATCAGTCCAAACGAGTTTTATACCTTGATTTGTATTATATTGGGCTATGACACATTATTATGTTGGCCTCAAAATATATTGGTTAGTCCTCCCCAATAAACCGGGCCCAATGCCCGCTATATTTCTATTATTAGTAAGTTTGGCCCAAATCACCTATTGAGTTACCCCTTCCCTATTCGCAAATTATACCATGGGACCGTTACACCGTGTGCACGTTGTACCGGTCCCTAAATGGCACCGTTTTGTTTTTAAAAAAGTTAACCTACGTAGCAGCTGGTAGCGATGAATAGGGGACTAGATTGAGAGCCGCCGCCCATCAAGGTTGCCTCAAAGACGGACTTAAGGTCTTCAGTCGGAGAAAGAGATGGGACTACTGAGCAAAGGACTGGTAAGACGGCCAGTGGAGTGGTGATCCGTTGCCTCCTTTGCAACGAGAGAGATGGAAGCGACATCCATGGCAGCGTGCCGCAAAGCTTGACCACCACTGATTCAAGAACGATTTGGCTGGAGCTTCGTATCCAGTGCTCCACCGAATTCGGGATAGGCTTTTATAAACTGAATCTGTTGTTTTTCGTCCATGGATGTTTCTTCAAGCTTTGTGTGTATGTTGCTATGGAATTGAACTCTACGGATGAGTGTATCTTGTAATTTCTGGGCTTTTCATTTTTATTTATCTACAAAACATTTTTATTAAAACGATTTACAGTTCCATTTATCTCAAGTTACATATCTATTAATATGAGTTACATTTCAGTTTTCCTCCATAAGTTACAGCTTGCTTACACGTTGATGGTACCATGGACTTGGACCATGGCCCAATTACGTAGTCCAGCCCATAACGGGACCAACCCTTAACGGGATTAGCCTAATTAACAGGGTTAGCCCCTAAACGGGATCAAG